GTCTTTTAGGCTTTGATTATTGGCGCACGTTTTTCGGTGCTTGTGCTGTATTGCAGCTATAACAAACTATGGAGGGATGCAAACATATTGATGGTGTGAGAATGCACGGCTTCATGTATGTGTGACATAACATCACAGGTGATATTTTAGGCATAAAAATTATTAACATTTTGTTATGCTATAACAGTGTAAGATGATTTTTCCACATACTCTGTAATCTGAAAAATAATGTATTCCGTGTTTTTTTTCCATATTATTTTAGTAAAAGCACAAACAAAAAATGACTCCAGTTCATGTGTATTTACATTCATGCATCAAAGTGTTTCTTGTAGTCTTGTACAGCAAAGGAGGAGCTATACGCAGTGAAGTCACGCCGCCGAGACCACGAGGAGGTCCGGCGGTCATCTTTAAATCTCTATATGGTCAGTGACAGCTCATTTTACCTTATTATTATTATACAGTATTTATAAAGCGCCAACAGTTCGCTCAGCGCTGTACATTACAATGGGAGACAGAACATGCGACAGTACAATAACAATACAATACAATACAAGAGGGGTTCGAGGGCCTTGATCCTTGGAGCTTACAATCTAGGACTGAGGGGATAGTGGTACAGGAGGAAATAGCTGTGGGGGGTGGAGTGGTAGGAAGAGTGGAGGAGGTCGGGAATTAGCAGGGGGTGTGGTAGGCTTCCCTGAAGAGGTCTGTTGTATTGACTATTACCTATAATATACTTTCAACAAGTACTACACTATGGGCATTCTTCTTTCTGGCTCCGCATGAGCCAATACATCATAGAGCCCATTCTGGAGGATGGCAGTTACATATTGACGTCCTGTTCAGTGATATTAGTTTATTTATTCTTAGTGCTGCACCCTTGTGTTTTATACAGCAAAATACTTTAACCTCCCGTCATACATTTGTGCTGCACCTTGTGGACTTACAAATGTACTATGTTCTAATGAAGCCCATAAACCCCTTTCAACACCATACTGAAGCATTTTTTTGAACTGTAAAAGTATAGTGTTAGACACACGGTGCTTAAATTAGTATTAAATCTTCTGTGTTTTATAACGTAACACATTGAGAGCAATAAAATAAACAGTCCTTGGTAACTATTTGTTAAAATTCTTACCCCCAGCACCTGCATTTTACATTTTTAAAAGCTTCTGGCTCCAGCTTTCTCAGTGCTGCTTCCCTGACCTTCCAGTATTCACTGGAAAGAATTGACAGTGCAGTCTCCACACAGTTTGCTCGGAGGATTAAGTGCCCTGCCACCCAAAGCTGCAGGACTGTGTGTTTCCTTTGATGCACGCAGTGTATGGAGACACATCTATAGTCCCTTCATCCAAGGGTAGCTAAATAGGATGCTGAAAGAGAAAGAAGCCACCTTGAAACAGGAAACTTGGGGCAGTGATCATGGCACCAGCCTTAACTGGAATGAGGATTAAAAGATAAAGAAGCTGCATATTCAGAAAGTGATTCAATTAACTGTTCAAAATGGGGATTTAATGAGGGTTTAATATTACTGCATTATATTTAGCCTTTTGCTGTACTGTTTTATACACTGCTCAAAACAATTAAAGGAACACTTTGAAAACACATCAGATCCCAATGGGGAAGAATATCATGCTGGATATCTATACTGATATGGACTGGGTAATGTTAGGAACGTAAGGATGCCCCATCATTTGATGGAAATTAAACTTCTCAACATACAGGGGACTGAATTCAAAGACACCCTGAAAATCAAAGTGAAAGAATGATGCAGCAGTCTTGTCCATTTTGCTGAAATTTAATTTCAACAACTCAAAATGGTACTCAGTAGTTTGTATGGCCCTGACATGCTTGAATGCATGCCTGACAATGTCAGGGCATGCTCCTAATGAGACGACGGATGGTGTCCTGGGGTATTTCCACCCAGATCTTGACCAGGGCATCACTGAGGTCCTGGACAGTCTGAGGTGCAACCTGGCGGTGTTGGATGGACCAAAACATGATATATCCCAGAAGTGTTCTATTGGATTTAGGTCAGGTGAGCGTGGGAGCCATTCAATAATATCAATTCCTTCATCCCCCAGGAACTGCCTGCATACTCTCGCCACACGAGGCCTGGGCATTGTCGAGCACCAGGAGGAACCCAGGACCCACTGTACCAGCGTAGGGTCTGACAATGGGTCCAAGGATTTCACCCCAAAACCTAATGGCAGTCAGGGTGCCATTGTCTAGCCCAAGGGTCTCCAAACTATGGCCCTCCAGCTGTTGAAGTACTACAAGTCCCATTATGCCTCTGGGAGTCTTGCTTGTGGCTGTCAGAGTCTTGCAAGGCCTCATGGGACTTGCAGTTCTTCAACACCTGGAAGGTCATAGTTTGGAGACCCCTGGTCTAGCCTGTAGAGGTCTGTGCGTCCCTCCAGGGATATGCCTCCCTAGACCATCACTGACCCACCACAAAAGCGGTCATGCTGAACAGGCAGCATATCGTTCTCCATGGCTTCTCGAGCCCCTTTCACGTCTGTAACGTGCTCGGGTGAACCTGCTGTCATCTGTGAAAAGCACAGGGTGCCAGTGGCGGATCTGCCAATTCTGGTGTTCAATGGCAGATGCCAATCGAGCTCTGTGGTGGCGGGTAGTGAGCACAGGGCCCACTAGAGGATGTTGGGCCTTCAGACCACCCTCATGAAGTCTGTTTCTGATTGGTTGGAGACATTCACACAAGTTGCCTGCTGGAGGTAATTTTGTAGGGCTCTGGCAGTGCTTATCCTGTTCCACCTGCTGAAGGGTTAAGGACCTTTTATGGCCCTGTCCAGCTCTCCTAGAGTAATTGCCTGTCTTCTGGAATCTCCTGCATGCTCTTGAGACACACAAAACCTTCTGGCAATGGCACGTATTGATGTGCCATCCTGGAGGAGTTGGACTGCCTGTGCTACTTCTGCAGGGTCCAGGTATCGCCTCATGCTTCCAGTAGTGACCGTGACCCTAGCCAAATTCAAAACTAGTGAAAAAACAGTCAGAAAAGATGAGTAGGGAAAAAAATGTCAGTAGCCTCCACCTGTAAAACCATTTCTGTTTTGGGGCTCATCTCATTGTTGCCCATCTAGTGCACCTGTTGTTAATTTCATTAACACCAAAGCAGCTAAAAAGTATTAACAACCCCCTCTGCTACTTAACTGACCAGATCAATATCCCAGGAGTTTAATTCCCTTGATGCTATACGCTGATTAAAAAGTGTTCCTTTAAATTTTTTAAAGCAGTGTATATATAGCGTGTGGTCCTAGAGGTTTTTCTCCAACAACCATGGGGCCATGCTGGACCTTCGGATGAGATTATTAAAAAATTGAAGAGATGGGAGTGCCTCACTAGTTTGTAGAGTCAATAAAAGATTTTATTTAGCAACAAAATCCAACGTGTTTCGGGGGTTTGCAAAATTGAGCAATCTGTCAGTATTATGAATGAGAAATCTGTGCTGCTCATTCATTCACAATAGAAAAGATCATTCATAGTTTCAGCTCTGTGTAATTTTTTTACAGTTCACTCTTAGTGATCAAGCATCACTGATGTTCGTTCAAAATATTGACAGATCACTCAGTTTAGAGAGGCTGAAGAGCTCTGTGCTGGCTGTACCTCCCCCCACAGGATCGCCTATAATTTGTGCTTCAAAAGGGGGAGGGGCTACAGCCAGCACATGTGTATTTAGGGGACAACGGGGCTACCGATTAGAGAGCGAGACCAAGTGCTATATGTATGTGGTCCCCTGGGGAGATAAATAAAAAAATAAAATAAAAAAATGATGGAACTGAAATCGGAATTTCTGTAAAGGATACCAAATGCAGAAATATGGCGGCAGCAGGGATGACCAGATCAATGTAGTTGTACATAGGAAACTGGAATCATATTGAATAGGATTAAAATAAAGTTTATTAATGCATGCAACATCAACACACCATAAGCAAAGCAAAAGCTAAATCTCTACGCTGATCCACACTGAGCAAGTGGAAGACAGGTCTGTGTCCACTCCGCTGCTGCAGAGCGGGCACAGACACAGCATGCTGTTTTCTATGGGGAAATCGGATGGAAACAGACCGCCTGTCCGTTTGCACCTGTCATCTGATCCACTGGATGGATGAGGAGTAGATCTCCTTCCATCTGTTTTTAGCGTACAGGATCAGATTGGATGCTAGCAGGTGTCAGTGGATACATGTCTGTGAACACCCGTCACACCATAGAGAGCTGTGGATGGTCCGATTGGGTACGCCTGAAAAACTGACAGGCGGACCCGAACGGACCATCATTGTGAAAAGGGTCTTCAAGGCAAAACACTGAAGCAAAGCTGCAGATCAATGGTGGGGTTATATACCGTTCCAGCAGCCAGCATCAGGTGGAGCCTGATTACTTGGATCTGCTGGCTTTTTGGAGACTTCCGCTGGTGGCCTATGGAACTGCAACCTTCAGATCTGGGAAACACAGTGACACTGGTCTAGCTGTGTTTTCTCACATTCCAGGAATTTTTCGTATAGACCACGAAAGTTGACTTGAAACAGATCTAGATAGTGCAAAGAAGGTGCACATTTAGGAGATATTCATTTTACCTACAGGTAAGCTGTATTATAAACTTACCTGTAGGTAAAATTAAAAAAATTAGTTTACTGCCACTTTAACTAGTGCTCAGCTGAACACTGATAGAAGTCACAAGACTTCTATATACTGCTGATGAGAAAAGATATTTAGTAGTTTATATTTACTTAAATAATTGCATTTCCGTATTCTGCGTAGTGTGGGAGACCAAATATAGTGAATGCAGAGTCCTGGTTGTAGTAGCACTTTAATAAAGTTGCCTCTGCACTTTCAGTTTTCTCTTTGTTGCTCTGCAAAGTCTCACAAATACCTGTTGATCCTAACAGTGAAGCAGGGGTGGACTGACCATTTGGAAAACTCGGGCACTGCCCAAGGGCTCGGGGTCAGTAAGGGGCCCCATGAGATGCCCCTGGTACCTTTTTCATAGGCTTTTTTGAGTTTGGGCAAGGACACAGGGGCCCCATGATCCCCTATTGCCCGGGGGCCCCATGAGTTGTCAGTCTGCCCCTGCAGTGAAGTCCACTTGTGTAGCTTACTGTGATCGTTTGGCAATGATCCTGGACTGCTCTGTGTTTAGCCCCCATTGCTGCTCAGCAACTGCTGTCAAGTTGTTACTCCATTAGGAGAGTTCAGAACCACTTTTATTATAGATCTGTAAAGTCTCTGTTTTCTCTGAATCCATCCATGTTTTTTCCTGTGTTCAGCTCTGATAAATGGGGAGTGATGTTACTCCCAAAATGTGTTGGCTGTTTTTACATGACTCTTTTACCAACAATTAAAATAATGTTGGACTTTTTTTATATCCTGTTTTTGACTGGTATTCCTGTTTGTATTTTGAGTTACTGTTGGGTACCCATCAAGGGAAGCCTTGCTGTGCGGGAGCCACCTCTCCTTCAGAGCTATCGTTCATAGTTTACCTTCATCTTACTACATGTGCAAGTCTAAAAATTTCCAGCGCCTCTTGGAGTAGGTTGTTCTGGAGTCCCTGTATTCGGAGTAAAATTGCTACTCTCAGGTAGACTCTGCCTGCTTACACTACAATGGGATGAAAAAAATATTGCAGAGGTTGGGGCTAACTTTTTAACTTAAAATAAACATGCACAATATATGTTGGCCTACAGTGCTCAGCATAAATGAGTGCACCCCTTTTGAAAAGTAAGATTTTCATCAATATCTCAATGAACACCAGAACAATTTCCAAAATTTTGACAACTGAGTTTTATAGAACATTGCATAAAAAGTAAGGTTAATAATATAACTCAGATTACAAAATCTTCAGTTTTGCTCAAATTAGTTGATGCAAAAATGAATACAACCCACAACTAAAGCTACTACATCTAGTATTTTGTATGACCTCTATGATTTGTAAGGGCAGCGCCAAGTCTTCTAGGCATGGAATGAACTAGTTGGCAACATATTGCAATGTCTATCTTTTTCTGTTCTTCAAGAACAACCTATTTTAGAGCCTGGATGCTGGATGGAGAGTGATGCTCAACTTGTCTCTTCCGAATTCCCCATAAGTGTTCAATTGGATTCAGATCAGGAGATATATTTGGCCACTGGATCACTTTCCCCCTGTTCTTCCTCAGAAATGCAGCAGTGGCCTTAGATGTGTGTTTTGGATCATTGTCATGTTGGAAAAGTGCACGACGACCAAGGGCACTGAATGATGGTAGCATCTTATCTTTCAATATAGAGCAGTACATCTGTGAATTCATGATACCATCAATTAAATGCATGTCCCCGACATTGGCAGCACTCATGCAGCCCCACAGAAGGACACTTCCACCACTATTTTTCACTGTAGGCACCATGTATTTTTCTTTGTACTTCTTACTTTTGTGATGTCATACAGTTTTGAAGTCATCAGTTCCAAAAACATTTATCTTGGTCTCATCACTCCAGAGTACAGAGTCCTAGTAGTCTTCTTCTTTTTCAGCATGGGTCCTGGCAAATTCTAGGCGGCCTTTTTTGTGCATGGGCTTTCGGAGAGGCTTTCTTCATGAATGACACCCATGCATGCCATGAAATGGGAAGGGGTTTTCTTTAAGTAGCGCATTTTTTTTAAATCAACTGTCTGCTGGATACCTGTTTAATGGATAATTGGACTCGCCTGTGGTTGAATTTTTTTGTTAATTAGGATTTTATTGTCTATTGATTTTTTTGCAACATGGTCTTGAGTTTAAGAAAAATAATTTTTTGTGTATGCAAATTAACAAATCTTGTTTGCAATCAATGGCCCACGTTTGTGGGAGTATTTCGTAGTTTAGTGTCCCAAAGAAAATGTTGATTCTGAAAGGAAAGTAAAGGTTTTCTGACAAATCTGTTGGGATGTACTCATTTATGCTGAGCACTGTATATGATAGAGTTGCATGCAGTGCAACTATCTCAGAGGATATGCTGATGGCATTATAAGGTCTTGCTGTCCTCATCTGCCACAACGGCAAAGTCATCTGAAGAATACCTGAATAGGAAAGAGTCTGAGAGATTGTAGAACAGATTGAAAGGACACTATGACTCTAAATGGAATTGTGAAGTAGTAAAAAATAAATGCAATTACGAATGGATATGGCCGATGAGATCTATGTTCACCTAGAAAAGCTTGTATAGATCAGTCACTGTCTGGAGACGAAGGATTATTCTGCAGTAAGGTTTTATTGAAGTGGTTTTAAACACGTGCGAACTAACCCCTTTATCAGGAGAAACGATTAATGCATCAGCCTCAATGTATAACAACATTAAAGAATATTTGGTGGGTGAAAAATAGCATGAGGTCAGAGATTAATCCTATGACATACTCATTATATTAAAACAATCATTTCAGATACGTGCGCAAACCCCGCAAGCCTCTTCTGTATCTCCTGAGCGGAGTCTGTAAGCAGATCTATAATCTGCATCTCTAATCTTGTTTTAATATTTCTTAGCTGAGACAACATGATTACACCCTTGCAGTTTGTGATTTTTTTTTTTTTAAAGTCTTGTGATTGGTTAGAGGAAATTGTATTAACCTATTTACAAAAATAGAGGTCTGCAGAACTCTGTGACTCGTGGATGTATAGCTATTATCTATAATTGTTAGGTTTGGATGTAACATACATTGATAATGTAGTGAACTACATATAGAAAGGGAGGGGTAAATATTATATCATGCAAAACATGAATTTGACCAATTCTGGGAAAAGCGGTACTTTGATTACTTCTTATAATAATTCCTCTATAATTTTAGTTTTCAGACACAAGAACTTTCTAGTGTAATAAAACTATTTAAAGGCTAAGTTCACTTTAGTAAAAAATAAATCCTAAATGCACATGATTTGGTAGATAAAAAAATATGCACTTATTATTTTTTTTTACCCTGGAGCCTGCAAAGCATTACACCTGTGATCAATGGATCACGGGCAAAATGTCGGGCTCCTATAGATAATGCTGACATCTCTTTGCCATTACCTATGTATGGTCAGACAGTGACTCAGCTGCAGGAACTGTCACTGGACTGTGAGAGCACTAATCAGCGCTCTTGTGCTCTTGTAGTTCTTCTGGATTTTTGGGTCCTCTGTGCCGCCATCTTGGGTGTGGGAAGCTGGCTGTGATTTCATGTGGTTTCACAGCTGGCTCACTACTGTACATGTCAGGTTGCTCTCTTTAAATGGACCTGCAGCCTCCTGGGACCTGTGTTGTGTCGTAGCATAGGAGCCAAGGTTTTGTTCCGCAAGGGAGAAACGTTGCCTTGCTGTAACTATGTGATCATTCATTAAAACTTTTGGACCCATATTGGTGATCCTCGGTGTGCTGGTGACATTCTCCCTTGCTGATTCTGTTCAGCTCTAGCCGACGGTCGCTACAGCACCCACTTATACACACAGCTATTTTTAAAGCAGGAGCATGTGCGCTTGGATTGTGCACTTGCATTTTTAAACTGCTGATCAGATCACCTAGGCGGATAGCTGATCCCTAACAAACAAACAAAAAAAGCTCAAAGTGTTTTATGGGGGGGGGGGGGGGGGGTGTTGGATGGGTGTCAGTGGGGAGGAGGAAAAGTAGTTCAGTGGGGAGGAGGAAAAGTAGTACTTTTCTCTTTAGGTGAAATTTCACTTTAATGTCAGTCTATGGGCAGGAGGCTGCAAACTGGTATGCTTCTTTTTATACCTGGCTATCCTGCAGTCCATCTAGGTCTGAAAAAAAGAACAGAAAATGTTTGAGACCTTTTCTGTTTACTTGGACCTCAACATGACAGACTGGAGGTAAAGAGATGCAAACAGCTGTAGTGTACATCTGTTTACCTCTGCCTGCCCATTGACCTAGCATAGGTTCATTAACATGGCAGAAAAAACAAAACAGACCCGGATATCACAAAAGTGACATATGTCTCATTCTGCTCAGATCCCCTGCTCATCTGAATGGACATCGCTTGTCTGAAAGGACCCCTAACCCGGATCAATATTTCGGTCCATCTATGAACAGGCCAGTTGTACTAAAGTCAGTCTATCGATTTGACTTTAGTACAACCAGCCTGTCAGGTTTTTTTTTCTTTAGATCACTGCTGGCAGATAGCCACCAGCAGTGATCATTGTACTCTGATAGTTGGGAACCCTCCGGCTGTCAGAAAACAATAGTACAGTGAGAGGGTTTACCTCATCAACACTGATTGTGTTGATGGCGAAATCAAGTAACCCATCAACCCGAAATCAACTCATAGATAAAAAAAAAGAAAATTGCAGTATGTTAGGCCTGCTTTAGGCTAATGTCAGATTGGCATTTTTTTTAGCAAAGATTAAAGTAGCTTTGAATGATCAAAAAATGAAATACCTGTGTGCAGCAGCCCCCCCCCCCCCCCCCCCCCAATACTTACCTAAGCCCCCTCTCGATCCAGCGATGTGCACGAGGGCAGCAACTCTCCCGTGACTCTCTCTCCTCATTGATTGAGACAGCAGCAGGTGCCATTGGCTCCCTCTACTGTCCGTAACAGCCAATGAGCTGTGTGTGTGTGAATGGACACACTGAGTAGCGTCCCAAGAGCGAGCCTGCTTGGATGCACCCATAGCAAGCTGCTTGCAATGGGGGCACTCGGCATGAGTGAGGGGCCCAGGAGAGCCGATGGGGGATCTGAGAACAGGATGGCCGAGGCTGCTCTGTGCAAAACCACTGCACAGAGCAGGTAAGTATACCATGTTATTTTTTTTTTTCATTGCCTTTAATATCACTGCTCCAAATTGCTAATCCCAGTGATGCGACCAGCGATTTAGTTTCTAGAGTCGCTGATGATGGTGCTATAGCATTGGAATGTGCTCAGCTACAAATCATGCTTTCAGTGATTTGAGCCACGTTCCATAGAGATGCATAGAGAGAGATTGTCAGTAGTGATTTTGCCACGCACCACTGAATCTCCACCTCTGAGCAACAGAGTGACAAATCACTTTAAAAATGTAAGCATCCCATTAAAAATATTATGATGGATATCTTAGAAAAAATTGCTATAACAAAATGGTGTTA